TAGTTAGTTAGGTAGGTAGTTAGTTAGTTAGTTAGTTAGTTAGTTAGTTAGTTAGTTAGTTAGTTAGTTAGTTAGTTAGTTAGTTAGTGGTCAAATCTATCCAATAAATCAAAATCAATAAACAAAACTCCTCTCCTTCACACATATAACTAAAACTCGACATTACACATATAAATACTCAACATAACGACAGACAGACAATGGTTAGTTAGTTAGTTAGTTGGTTAGTTGGTTAGTTGGTTAGATGATTAGTTAGTTAGATGATTAGTTAGTTAGATGGTTAGTTAGTTAGTTAGTTAGTTAGTTAGTTAGTTAGTTAGTTAGTTAGTTAGTTAGTTAGTTAGTTAGTTAGTTAGTTAGTTAGTTAGTGGTCAAAACTAACAAACTAACAAAACTCATCTCCTTTACACATATAACTAAAACTCGACATTACCTCAATATAACGACAGACAGACAATGGTTAGTTAGTTAGATGATTAGTTAGATTAGTTAGTTAGTTAGTTGTCAACATTATCCAATCAATAAAAATCAATAAATTGAGCTCTTCACATAAGTTTCACATACAGTAACTAAAATTAAACAAATTTGGGAGACAGAGAGGCTGAGAGTTAGTTAGTTAGTTAGTTAGTTAGTTAGTTGTCAAAACTATAAATAAATAAATCTAAATCAATAAATGAAGCTCTCTTTCACACAAGTTTTAAAGAATACACACACAACTAAACCCCAACATTTAGTTCCATATAACAACAGACAGATGGATAGGTAGTTAGACAGTTAGTTAGTTGGCAATTTAATTTAGTCAAATCCATTTAATAATTCAAATCAACAAGCTCTTCTACTTCACACACATTACTAAAACTCAACATTTAGATCAATATAATGACAAACAGACTAATAGTTAGTTAGTTAAGTTGTTAGTTAGCGTTATCCAATAAATCTAAATTTTAAAAATGAAGCTCTTCTCTTTCACACACATTACTAAAACTCAACACTTAGCTAAATAAAATGACAAACAGATGGCGTGAATTAATTAGTTAGTTAGTTAGTTAATAAGTTAGCTAGTTGTAAAATCTGAATAATAAATCAAACTCAATAAATTAAACTCTTCTTTCACACACACACACAACTAAAACTCAAGGTTTAGCTCAATTTAATAAAAGAAAGATTAGTAAGTAAGTGAGTGAGTGAGTTAGTTAGTTAGTTAGTTAGTTAGTAAGTTAGTTAGTTAGTTAGTTAGTTATTTGTAAAATCTATCCAAAATCAGATAAATGGAGCCATTTTCTTTCACAAAAGTTCCAAATATGTACAACTTAAACTAAACATTTAGCCCAATATAATGACAGAGAGACTGAGAGTTGGTTTAGTTAGTTAGTTAGTGTTGTTGAATATCTATGTATCAAAATCAATAAATGAAACTTCTCTTTTACACACAAAACTAAAACTCAACATTTAGACCAATATAATGAAACAGACGGACAGTTAGTTAGTTAGTTAGTTAGTTAGTTAGTTACTTAGTTAATCGGTAAGTGTTGTCATATCTACCAAACTAATCAAAATCAACAATCAAATCTTTTCTCTTTCACACGCACATTACTAAAATTCAACATTTAGCTCAATGTATTGACAGACAGATGGACAGTGAGTTGGTTGTATCTATCCAAAGAAACAATAAACCCAAATCACTAAATGGAGCTCTTCTTCACACAGTTAACTAAATCTCAACATTTAGCTCAATGTAATGACGGATAAGTTAGTTAATTGTTAATAAAAAATAATCCAAAGAAAAAAAAATGACCAAAATCAATAAACGGAGCTCTTTCTTTCACTTAAGTTTCAAATTTTACACAGACAGAAAGTTTGTATGGTTGTTAGCTGTAAAATATATTCAATAAATCAAAATCAACACATGAAGCTCTTCTCTTTCATAAAAGTTCATTACACACACACACACAACTAAAACTCGACATTTCACGCACTACACGGACAGTCAGTCATCTAGTTAGTGCACTAGTTAGTGTCTCACCTATCCTCAGGAACACCACCACGCTGAACATAGACAGCAGTGTCGGGATCACCACGCCGAAGAAAGTGTTGAGTTTGGGCGGCTGCGCGGCGGCGGGATTCCGGGCTCCGGGTCTCCGGCTCCGTGTGTCCGGCTCTTCATGGCCGGCGCTCGTGGTCTGCCGGTGCTCCCGAGGCTCTCCGGGCTCGTGCCCGCTCGCCGAGAGCCGGTAATGCAGCAGCGGGGTCCGTTCAGACATGACGCCGAGATTCAGGCTTCCTTCTCCGGCTGCGGTCACATGACAGTCTGTGTTTACAGCAGAGAGTCACATGACACACTGAGGCAGCAGCCAATCAGCGGCCGCCAAACAACAATACAGCTCTATCTGTGATTCATTAATGTAGATGCACTGGAATGCAGTCTATGGAAGCCCGTTTCCGTCACTTAAAATAAAATAAAAATTAATAGACTTATATTAAAAAACTGAATAAAAAAAAAAGATTAAAAAAAAAATATATATATATATATATATATTACGACACTACAAAAGCTGCTGTTTTTGTCTTGTCCAAATATCTAAAAGTTCTTAAATCAGGCTGCATTTTCTAGACAAGTAAAATCATTGTCTTGTTTTTAGAAATAATTACACCTATTACACAAAAATTACTTTTATAAGGGGTTTAAACACAGTTGTGCAGCAATAGTCTGTAAATATCTCCAAGCCTCTAATAGTAATCATGAATTAATTGTGTTTGTAATAATCAGACTTGATGCAGAAACACTTTGATTGACATTCTCCCTTTGTACGTAGGCTATCATCAGAGGGAGAAAGCCCCGCCCACTAGTACCCATCCCCCTCCCCTCATTAGCATAAACAGCAGCCCTGAGTGAGAAGCAGCCGTCTATCCATTAGCCATTAGAGTGTTTGGCTTTAGTGTTAGGGTTTCCTAGCCATAGAGCCATAGCCATTGCTGCCCCCCTAGTTCTAGTGAACTGAAACAGTGTCAGTCCAGTTCAGTTTAGTTCAGTTCAGTGTGGTTTAATTTTTACTGCTGAAAGTTCAAACACTGAAGAGCAAATCCATGGATGCGCAGCTCTACCGATCCCTAACCAAGCAAGCCAGAGGCGATAATGGAGGAAAAATTGACCAAAGTCAATTCGCCAATTGACCAAAGTGAAGGAAAGACCAAAACCGAAAAGAAACCAGGCTCAGGTCATGACCATTTCTCCTCTGATCAATCTTCTTGTGCAGAGCTGCAGGCATGGAGAAGCTGCAGGTGTGAGTAGGTCACCTACGGGGTGTTTAGACGGGCCAACAGGATCAATGCGGAGACTTGTCTGTCACTGGGGTCTTTCAGGAACCAGTCTCAAGCTCTCCACTCCTCCATGACCACCACAGCATCAGCTCAGGATACGGCCTTGTCCAGGATTATGGAGACCTTGGCATCATCTCTTCACAGGTCTTGGATCACATTAATAGCACTGCACGTTCTCTAGAGACTTGGGGATGAGTATTCATGCAGTTCAAGCTCCTTTGTTTTATCTATATCTATACTTATCTATAGAAACTACCACAATCAATATGAAACTACTGAAGCACTGGTTATACATATATTTTGCCTTTAGAACTGCCTCAATCCTTCATGGCAGAGATTCATCAAGCTACTGGAAATATTCCTCAGAGATTTTGCTCCATATTGTCATGATAGCATCACACAGTTGCTGCAGATTTGTCGGCTGCACATCCATGATGCCAATCTCCCGTTCCACCACATCCCAAAGCTGCTCTATTGGATTGAGCTCTGGTGACTGTGGAGGCCATTTGAGTACAGTGAACTCATCGTCATGTTCAAGAAACCAGTCTGAGATGATTGAGCTTCATGACATGCTGCGTTATCCTGCTGGAAGTAGCCATCAGAAGATGGAGACACTGTGCTCATAAAGGGATGGACATGGTCAGCAGCAATACTCAGGTAGGCTGTGGCGTTGATGCTCAATTGGTACTAATGGACCCAAAGAAAATCTCCCCCACACCATTACACCACCACCACCAGCCTGAACCGCTGATACAAGGCAGGATGATCCATGCTTTCATGTTGTTGAGGCCAAATTGTGAGCCGAGCATCCGAATGTGTCAGCAGAAATGGAGACTCATCAGAGCAGCAACGTTTCTCCAATCTTCTATTGTGCAGTTTTGGTGAGTCTGTGTGAATTGTAGCCTCAGTTTCCTGTTCTTAGCTGACAGGAGCGGCACCCGGTGTGCTCTTCTGCTGCTGTAGCCCATCCGCCTCAAGGTTGGACGTGTTGTGTGTTCAGAGATGCTCTTCTGCAGAGCTCGGTTGTAGCGAGTGCTTATTTGAGTTACTGTTGCCTTTCTATCAGCTGGAACCAGTCTGGCCATTCTCCTCTGACCTCCCTCATCAACAAGGCATTGGCGCCCACAGAACTGCCGCTCACTGGATATTTCCTCTTTGTCGGAGCATTCTCTGTAAAGCCTAGAGATGGTTGTGCGTGAAAATCCCAGTAGATCAGCAGTTTCTGAAATACTCAGAGCAGCCCGTCTGGCAGCAACAACCATGCCAAGTTCAAAGTCACTTAAATCCCCTTTCTTCCCCATTCTGATGGTCACTTTGAACTGCAGCAGATTTTGTGTTATGTGATTGGCTGATTAGAAATTTACATTAATGAGCAGTTGGACAGGTGTACCTAATAAAGTGGCCTGTGCGTGTGTGTGTGTATTTTTTCCCACTCAAACACAAGATTTAGTATAATAAATTGTTTAATGTTTGCTGTAATATGATATGGATAGTTTACAGTCAGATGGCAGCGTTTTGAAAGATTCTTTCAGATTTAATCTGCAAGACAAACACAGTTAAAGTCTTCTGCAGGTCTGTGCCTGCTCTTCATTCCAGTTTATCCACTTCATAAAGGAGGAACGGCAATAAATTAATCTGTCTGTGTGTGTGTGTGTGTGTGTGTGTGTGTGTGTGTATGGGTGTGTTTGTATAACGGTGTGTGTGTTGTAATGTTTCTGTATCATGTGTGTTTTGTGTGTGTATCATGTGTGCTGCCCACAGGTGTTTGTAGATTTGTGTGTGTGTCTGTTTATGTGTGTGTGTGAGAAAGAGAGTGTGTATAAGTGTGTCTGAACATGTCTGCTTCAGTGTGTGTGTGTCTGTGTGTGAGAGAGAGTGTATGAGTGTCTCTGTTGAAGTGTGTGTGTCTCTGTCATCTGTATATGGGGTGCAGGGCTGGTCGCCATGCCAACCACAAGCAATGGAGAGCCTCATAAAGAGAGCGTCTGCGTTTGCCTCTCTGTTTTCTCCACCTCCGTCTCTCCTTTCTCTCCGTCTCTGCTTCCGTCTGCTGTTCTCCGGGATCTGATGCTGCAGACGGAGTGATTCTGCAGGATTTTCCGCTCTAGATGTTGATGGCTGGTGTTTGTCCGCTGTGTCGTCGCTGTTTTGATGTCGCTCTGATTCTGCCATGTTCTCACACTCTCTGCGGCCGCTGCATCGCTGAGGGGGTGTGGCTTTATCAGGGTGGGGGCAGGGATAAGGGAGTGGCCTCGATACATGAGGATAGAGTCAGTGGATTGACCTTACTACATGAGGGCGGAGTCAAGGAAGTGACTTCAAGATATAAAGGTGGATCTGTGGGTGTGGCGTCTAACTCTAAATGTGGAGTTAAAGGAGAAAACTCAACACCTGGAGGCGGAGCTGTGGGTGTGTCCTCCAACTCTAAATGTGGAGTTAAAGGAGAAAACTCAACACCTGGAGGCGGAGCTGTGGGTGTGTCCTCTAACTCTAAATGTGGAGTTAAGGAGGAAAACTCAACACCTGGAGGCGGAGCTGTGGGTGTGTCCTCCAACTATAAATGTGGAGTTAAAGGAGAAAACTCAACACCTGGAGGCGGAGCTGTGGGTGTGTCCTCTAACTCTAAATGTGGAGTTAAAGGAGAAAACTCAACACCTGGAGGCGGAGCTGTGGGTGTGTCCTCTAACTCTAAATGTGGAGTTAAGGAGGAAAACTCAACACCTGGAGGCGGAGCTGTGGGTGTGTCCTCTAACTCTAAATGTGGAGTTAAGGAGGAAAACTCAACAGCTGAAGGCGGAGCTGTGGGCGTGTCATCTATATCTAAAGGCGGAGTCAAAGCAGAAAACGCAACACATGGAGGAGGAGTCAGTGGAGTGACCTCTCTACATGGGGGTGGAGTAAGGGGAGTGACCTTAACAGAAGGAGGCGGAGTCAGTGAAGTGAATTTAACATATGAAGGCAGAGCTGTGGGTGTGTCATCTATCTGTAAAGGTGGAGTCACTGGAGTGATTTCAACCCATGGAGGCGGAGTCATGGGAGTGACTTCAACCCATGGAGGCGGACTCAGTGAAGTGACCTCAACACAAAAAGGCGGAGTCAGTGGAGTGACCTCAAAACATGAGGGCAGAGTCAGTGAAGTGACCTCAACACATGAGGGCGGGGTCAGTGAAGTGACCTCAAGACATGAAGGTGGAGTCAGTGGGGAGACCTCAAACCATGCAGGTGGAGCTGTAGGTTTGTCATCTGAATCTAAAGGCGGAGTCAAAGGAGTGACTTCAATGCAAGAGGGTGGAGTCAGTGGAGTGATATCAACATGTGGAGGCGGAGCTGTAGGTTTGTCATTTGAATCTAAAGGCGGAGTCAAGGGAATGACTTCAGCACTTGGAGGTGGAGTCAGTGGAGTGACTTTAAAAAATGGGGGCGGAGCAATGAGTGTGTCATCTGACTCTAAAAGCAGGGTCAAAGAAGAGAACTCAACACATGGAGGCAGAGCTGTAGGTGTATCCTTTTGTTTTAAAGGCGGAGCCAAGGAAATGTCCTCTACAGTTGAGGGCAGAATCAGGGGAGTGACTTTACCATATGGAGGCGGAAATGTGGGTGTGTCATCTGAATCTAAAGACGGAGTCAAGGAAGAGATCTCAACACATAGAGGCGGAGCTGTGGGTGTGTCCTCTTGTTCTGAAGGCGGAGCCAAGAAAGTATCCTCTGCATCTGAGTGGGAAGCCAAGGCAGTGACTTCACCACATGGAGGCGGGGCTGTGGGTGTGTCCTCTGACTATAAAGGCGGACTCAAAGGAATGACTTCACCACATGAGGGCGGAGTCAGGGGCGTGTCTTCTGTCTGCGCAGTTCTTTGTCCGAGCTGTCATCACAGTGTTGAGCTGCCATGCTTCGACTGGTCGTCTGCCCTGACTTGTTTGCCCTTTGACCCCACAGTAAAAGGGATGTTTGAGGGTCAGAGCTGGGATACGGGTGAGTCTTCTGCATATTCTCCTGTATGTATTTCTGCAAAACAG